GGCCGGGCCGGGCCTCCGGGGCCGCGGCGGGCGGTGGCGAGGGCGCGGCGCGGGAGGCAGGCTGTGCGCCGGGTACGCGGCGCCGTGGCCGCGCCGAGAGATGTGTGTTAGTAGGTCAGTTCCGAGCGCCGCGCGACGTCGCCGCCCGCCAGCCCCCTGACGGGCGGCCGCCGCCCCAATCGCCGCACCCGAGCCCGTGCCCGCCCCCGGCTTTAGCCAATGGTTGCGGCCGACCGGGGCGGGCTCCTTGCGGCCCCGCCCCTGACACGGCCCCGTTCCCCCCCCCCCCCCCCGGCGCGGCTGCCACTCCGCGTCCCTCCCTGGCCGGCCGCGGCCCCGGTCGCTCCCCGGCGCCCGTGAAGACCAGCGCCCGCCCGAGGGCAGCGGACGGCGGCGCCTGGGGAGCGTGGAGCGGAACCCGGGGCCACGTCCCTAGCGCCGGGTGTTTCGGGAGCTCCCTGCGCCCCCGACCTCGGCTCTTGGCGGAGGCGCTTTGTGTCCCCGAGACCTGTTACGGGCTAAGTGCCGGTGGCCGCGGACCCCGGGCGTGGGGCCTCGGGGACCCTGTGTACCGCGCCCGCGCGGGCCTCACCGTGGGGCGGCGGGGGCGCTGCCGTGTGCGCTCGCGCACCGGGGCGCAGTGCTGGCTGCCGGGAGCTCCTCAGCGCCAACCGCCCCCTGCACGATTGGGGTGAGGAAGACGGCGGTAGGCTTGTTGCGTAACACGGCTGTGAAACCAGGCTCTCGAGGTCCTCGTCCCCACCCCCGGCGTGGCCACGTGGAGCTGTGGCTCCGGAGCGCGGCTTTCCTGGGGTCTGGAGAGGACCGCACCGGGCTGGCCAGCGGGCAGGAGCCCTTAGCTCCTGAGTGTCCTTTCTGACCCAGTTGCGGCCCCTAGCCCTTCCAGGGCCACCGAAGAGACATTTAAAAAACAGGAGCGAGGCCACTGGTCCTCGAATCCTTGTCGTCACGCTGTGGCTGTGAAGGCAGGTGGCGTCCACAGCTCGCCTTTATAGAGGGACAGGCCGGCTTTGGCGCCGGAGCCAAGCTGACGGTAACCACGAACGAGGTTTCCCAGGTAGGGAGTGTGGTATGGACCTGCTCAAGCCAGTGTTCCCCTTGTCTTACCACCACCTTTTCCTCTCCCGTTTTTAAAACTGCAGACACCGAAGTGGAGAGTACTGGACACGCAGGTACCGTCATGTGTGTCCAACATTAGCAGAAAGTGTGCCCACTGTGTGCGGTTCTTCGCTACATTCCGTAGGCTCATATCACACTGACAGTATTATAATACCACCCGAAGAGTCATGCTTTTAAAACTGTAACGTTTCTCAGCTGGGATTTTGGAAAACTTCAGAGGGCGATGCTGCAGTTCAGTAGTGGCTCTCTGTCATGATTTATCTGGGAGAGGACAGCTTTACCAGGGCCCTATAACTCATACCCGCAGTGAGGGGGCTTTAACGTCTTTGCCAGCCCACTCCCCTTCCCAGGCAGGCCAGTTCAGGAACCACATTCCCTCTATTACACATTTATTCCAGAGAATTGACCACTTTGATGAAAACGAATCCCAATTTGGTTTAAAATTTCCATTTACTGATAGCTTCCCTTCTTCCATACCCTTACAATGGCTATTTATAGCTTTGAAAGCTTCTCTTAGATGAAATCAAAACCATAGCCATAAATCAGTTACCTGTGGGGGGAGGTCAGAAAGGCAGCTAGCTCCTAATAATGGAGAACTGCTGGCGGCACTTCCCCTCCTCCCACGACACGCGGTACACACTTCTGCGTTTTGAATAATGCCATCGAATTCCGAAGCTCTTGTAGAACAGGTAGTGGACATCTTTATGGAATGACACCTGCCCCTTCAGGATCAGTAAACACAAGCCCCGAGTCACCTCAGGCAGTGATGTGGAGAACGCTCTGCCCCTGGACACTTGTTCTTTCTGCTGAATTTTGAAACCTGATGCTCCTTTAATTCCCTGGAGTACTTTAGATTGTGCCTGTATCACACTAGTGCTTCACTTTTTATTACCATCTAACTTGGAAATCAGAGGAAGTGTAAAAGATGTCTGTGATACCAGCTTAGAAAATAACTCTTTAGCTCCTCCTGGTGATTAGGAAATTGCTAAACATCACGACGAAGGAGCTGTCCCCAGGACCCAAGCCAGCGTCCTGTCTCGTGCCACACCCTGGATCCTGAAGAATGGATGGGTATCTGCAGAGTGGTCTCATAAATGGAGCATGAACCCTAAGATACTTGATACAGATCAATGAGGTGGGGAGACCGTCAGGAGAACACCGGATGCATCTGGCTGGGGGGCGAGGTGTAAGCAGGACAGGGAGGAAGGGGCTGTGATTGAAGTGTGAAGTCAAAACATTTTATTTAAAAAATTTTATTTGTGGTACTGGCGGTCACATCAAGGGCCTCACACATACCAGGCAAGTGCTGTACTGCTGAGCTTCACCCCCAGGCTCAAATTAAAGATTTTTACTGTCGGCTTCCAGTCCCTCTCAGGGCTGGGGTCCGGCTGGGTGCAGGAGCCAGTCAGGTGGTGGTCAGGACTCCCACGGGAGTTACCTCAGTCTCATCCAGCTTCGTTTTCTTGCACTGCAGATGTGCGCTCTCGTTAGGCAAGTATAAAAGAGAGTAGGGCAATTTGAGACTAAAACACCTAAGTCTCTGGTTTTTGCTTACTAAGGTTGGAAGAACTCTGTGCAGTAGACCTTCGAGTCACACCTGGCCTGACATAGGAACAAC